TATATCTTTCTTCCTCAACTTTCTGATTCCAGTGAAAAATACTGCAGTACTAATCATTATATGTTTAGATGCACACGAAATAACACATTACTTACTTATATTTTTCTAACATGCACACTGCTCGAGGATGGTTAGTGCAGTATATCTTATGTGCATTCTGAAGCTGTGGAGCCATGGTGAGGAATGCTCCACCTATCCGCTGGTCACGAGATGGCCTCTCACTTTGTTCTTCCAAGGATGATACCAGATGTGAGTGTGTTAAAGTGACTTCTTCCAAATTTCCTACAAGCTGTTTATACTCTGCTTCAGATAATCTGCAAAAAGAAAAAAAAAAAAAAAAAAAAAAAACAGCATTGAATGTAATGAAACACCATTTTCTGGGTGAGACCCAGAGGCTCCCCGGAGCTATCCATGGCTGATATGGATACCCTAACTATTTTGCATCAGTCGATGTGGGTGGAGTTCTAGGCCTACCGGGGATCACGAGCCAGAACCTGGCCCCCTCAGAGAGGCACGGGAAGCAATGGCCCATAGAAATGCACATGTGATTTGGAGCATTCTATATCTGCCATCGACCGGGACAGGCACCCAGAAAGGTAAGCGCCACAAAACAAACCCCTATTCTGGTTAAACAACAAAAATCGACAAACGAGTGGACAGAACTCCCCCAGGAAAACGAACTAACAAGCATGACGTCACGCGAGCCGCGCCACATGTCTGCGCAGCTCCCCCCTCCCCGGGAGGGGGAAGGGGGAGCCCCAGACCCCCGCGCCGGCGATCCCCGCCCCAGTTCTGAGGCTGGATATCAAAACCGTGAAAAAACCCCGCCGACCAGAGGGCGGGAGGGTGCCGGGGAGCCTCCGGGACTCACCCAGAAAATGGCGTTTCATTTCATTCAACGCTGGTTTTCTGGGGGGAGCCCCTACGGCTCCCCGGAGCTACCTCACCAAAGACTACCTAAAAAACAAGGGTACATACCCGGGAGATGGTCGGAGAATCACTCCACAACACGAAGTTGAGACAACAACCCAAGGTATATCATTCGCCAGAAAAAAGGGAGAACGGCCGCAGACGAAGAAAACCTATGATCACGACCATAGGAGCCAAAAACCGCTGCGCCTGAGAAGAGCAAGAAGCTCTGCCACACGGCCCCCAGAGGCGAATGCCAACACAAAAAGAAAACCGAGGCAAAGCAAACCTGACCCCAAGGAGCCACAACCACCAAGGAGAAGAAAAACAGGAGAGCACCCTGTCCAAAGACCAGGACGACACAGGCAGTGCATAAGCAGGCCGGAGGTGTAACAACGCACGATACAACCTGCGAAACGGCACAGAAGAAATATCGATACCGAAAGCTAGCAGCAGAAACCAAGGTGCCAGACCCAGGAACGGCCCCAAGCGCCTCTACATCCTCCGCAGGCCAATCCTATGACAGCCCCAGGAGGGAAAAGAAAACGCAGGACCAAAACGAAAATGCCACAAGTGTGCAAGACCACCTCCACAAGTGCAGCTGACAGGGAAGGAACTCACATAAGGAGCCGCCCCGCACCAACATCCCGCAGAAGGGCAGGAGCGAAAAGACTCATTGGGAGGAGCAAAATCGCTCCCAGGAAAACTAGTAGCGCTGAGACAGTGTGAAGAGAAGAGATATTCACAAAAGAACAAAAAGGCCAAGAGCAGGTTCGGAAGAAGTAGCCATTGTATGACCGAGCCCACAAGGGTTTTCCAGGGGCCCATAGTGTGAATTAGCCCTATGGAAAGCCCAGTTACTGGGGGCTTCTACAAAATGGCTATTGTGTGATAATGGATTGATTAATTGGGGATAAAACCCATTTGATTTATAGCTTTGATGCTTCATTTCCTGTGAATGGTGCAGCTGTCCATTGTATTGCTGACTTTCTGGATGATTTCTCAGTGTGGGGTGATAGTAACAATCTCTAGCTCCCTGTGCCTCTGTGAGGGGCCAGGTTCTGGCTCTGACCTCAGTAGGCCATACAGGATTTCTATGGTTGATGTGATTTGGTTGGGGAAAGCCATCTCGGCGAGATGACTTTGGTGGCTTCCCTGAAGCCACCCGAGGCGCCTCCAGAAAAAACTTATTTATAAATTAGACTAAATGCAGGTCAACTTAATATTTTTGTATTTGTAAGTATTCACAGTATTCTTGAGAAAGTACAGGGTGAAAGTTTCAATGCTGTGCTATCAAATAAAGAAAATACAACTAGTGATATTGTTCAAGTTCGTGAAATGTTATATGCAAATCCTTAATGTCTGACAGTATTTTATATAAATAATGACAAGTTTATTGTAAAAACTTACAATTCTGCCTTGCGGAGAGAAGCCAGATGTGATCCCAAAAGACCCTGCAAGTCGGCTACATGGTTACGTTCAGACTCGAGAATGTCCTTTAATACCAAATTACGGTAAATCTGTTGCTGCTGGGAATGCTGAGGGCTGATGAGGTCAGCATCAGCAGGCTGAGGCGATATACACCCACCATCTAAAAAAGTATAAAAAACAGTTTCCTCGCTACTTCTTTGTAAACCTAACTTATTCTTAATATAAAAAAAATCCAGTAATGCAATGAAATCCCTCTTTCTAGTGGACCCCTCATTGACTCCCTGGAGCTAGGCACCTGGATAGTTTTACATGTATCACGTCACACCTCCCTTTAGAGTCATAAAATGTCTACCAGAAACCAGAGACAGAATCTGGTCCACTCAGAGAGGGTTTAAGAAGCAAGGGATAAAACATCAACCCAGAACAAGAGGAAATATTCCCAGAAAGGTAGAGGGCTCCAAAATACAAATGCAAGGACAATTTTATCAACCTTGACACTAAGATCACAGTAGGATACTGAAGATGACCCACTCATGGACTCCAACCCTGCAGATGTAGGAACCAATGTGAAGACGGTATCACAGGATCCAACTCCGAAAAGCCCAAAGAGAAAAGCAGTAAACCTGAAGGTCCCAAAGGGTCAATGGAGACTGCACCCAGCAGTCCATATGATGATAAAAAAGGATGAAATGGGAGAAACCAGTACAGAGTCTAGAGCCAAACCCAGCCCAGGGGGTAAACCATGCAGGCAAAGTTCAGGTTACTCTACAGCCCCTCGAGTAGCCACCGAAAAACTTACGCATCCAAACACAGCAGCATTGCCTATAGCAAGGATATGGAAGCCAACCAAGAATACTAAACCAGACCCCAGCCTGGTCCAAACCTGCTATGAAACCAAGGACATATCCCACACGTGAACTGCTCAGAGAACCAAACCCCAAGAAGCCAGAAGCAAACCCACACAAAGCATCCAGCTCCACAGAGAAACAGACTGAAGAGACCCCCCCCTTCTCCCTTCTGTTCAGGCAATGAACCACCAAGGAGGAATCGGAGTGGAGCCAGAGGAAGTCAAATCCTACTCAAGGCATGCCACACATGCATTAATTCACACATGAATTAAGTCCCAGAATTAAGAGGCACGAGTTACGAGGATAGGATGCAGAAAATGCAACTCAACACTGGAAGACAGAAGAGTAAGGGAAGACATGATCACTACCTACAAAATTCTCAGAGGAATTGACAGGGTAGATAAAGATAAACTGTAACACAGGTGGTATGCAAATAAAGGGAAACTGAGTACTGTACCCAAATGAGCCACAAGGACGTTAGAAACAACTTTTTCAATGTCAGAGTAGTTAACAGGTGGAATGCATTAGGCAGTGATGTGGTGGAGGCTGATTCCATACACAGTTTCAAATGTAGATATGATAAGAGCCCAGTAGGCTCAGGAATCTGTACACCAGTTGATTGATAGTTGAAAGGCGGGACCAAAGAGCCAGAGCTCAACCCCGGCAAGCACAACTAGGTGAGTACAACTAGGCGAGTACAGCCACAAACTCATGCACTTTGCTGTGCACCCAATGAAACAAACCCAACCACCGACCCTGGGCATTGCGGTGAACGTTGCTCATGAAGCCTCACCCCAGAGATGAGGCATTTGTAAACAAAGCAACGGGGGAGGATGACGCTACGAAACCGAACCTGGAAAACCCCAAATGAGAAGTTGACGAATCAAGAGCCAACGACGGGCAGAAGGAATCTGAACCCGCTAATCCCATTAGTAGCAGAAAGGGCAGAACCAGAGACTTCAAAACACCTAGAGCCAAATCCTGTCCAGAATGAAGACATAGCAGGCAAAGTTCAGACTCCCATACAAATGCTTGACCAACAGATGAGTCACTTAGGGCTGATCCAACACCAGACGGCAACAAGGCTGCAAACTGAGCAAAGCCATTGGAGACAGGGAAAGACACTGACCAAGAGTCCCAAATGAGACCTAGCCAAGTCTGAACCTGGACAGAACCAACTGGGACTTTTGCTAGTTCACTAGGAACCTGAACCCGGCTAGCTGGAAAATAACCAGATCCCTGGCCAGGTAACACTTAGATCGACTGGAGACCCACACCAACCAGTCGTCGAGGTAGGCCAACACATAATCCTTAACAAATGCAACCAGGCCACAACAACCTGTGCTAGTTTTGTAAACATACCTGGAGCATACCTACAAGTATGCTCCAGTATGTGGAGCATACATACTTAATGATAAGTATTAAATATTTATATTATAATAATAATATAAATATTTAATACTTATCATTCTTCCTTCTGCTTGGTATTGAAGGAGGCTGGCCTCGGGTGAAAGAGGGTTGTGACGATCTCTGTCAGGAACCCGTAGGTGTGGGACCGGAACATCCACCTCCTGGGGCTCGTGCGGCCCAAGCTCTGCTTCTGGAGGCAGGGGTCGTTCTTGCCCTAGATGGGATGGTTCGTCTCCAGCCACGTCCACAGTGGTCTCTTGGTTTGGAGGTCCCTGTGCCCTTTTTCACCAACTTCGAGGTCAACCCCGGAACTCACAGTTCCTGCGACAATGCTGGAACCAATCATATTGGCGTTCGCCTTTCCATTGGAGACTTTCAGCGCCATGGAGAGGGGAGACCTGCTGCCTGGGATAACAGCTTCTTCTCCATATCAACCTACTCTGGCTTTGAGCCCTGGTGAGGCCACTCCAGGCCGACAACCAGAGCGCAACACCATAGTCTCCTGAAACTGTTGGATGCCTACTACTACCGGGAGAGGGTCTCGAGAGTTCTACTTCCCGAGCCTAACATTAGACCAGGCTAGACTTGTGATACCTTGATCCAACAAGCTACTGCTTGGAGCAGCCTGCAGGCCCACTTATCCACTAAAGCCTGGTTGGCCCGGCACTTCTTGCAAGAACTTGTCTAAGTGTCTCTTGAATACATCCACCTTTATTCCGGCAATATTTCTAATACTTGCTGGGAAGGTGTTGAACAGCCATGGACCCCTGATGTTAGGACAGTGTTATCTGATTGTGTCTATGGAACCTCTACACCTCATTGTTTCTATTCTGCATTTCCTTTCCGTATCTTTTGCTTCAGTAAGTTGTTATTCTACTGTGCAAATCTGGAACCTGGACTTCTAGTATTTTCCATGCATATATTATTCGATACCTTTCTCGTCTCCTTTCCTAAGTATATTTTGAGAACTTTGAGACAGTCCCAATAATTTAGATGTTTTATTGTTTCTATGCGTGCCATATATGTTCCCTGTATTCTCTCCAATTCAAAGGGAATACTCTGAATACTCTTCATATCCCTTTTCTGCTCGGAAAGGGGAAGTGAGTACTGAGCAATACTCAAGACGGGACAGCACCAATGATTTAAATAGTAATAGCATTGCTGAGGGATCTCTGGATTTGAACATTCTCATAATTCATCCAATCATTTTCCTAGCCGCTGCTATATTTGCTCAGTTATGTTCACTAAATGTCAGGTCATCAGATATCATAATTCCCAGATCTTTTACATGTTGCTTTCCTTCTATGAGTAGGTCTGATTGTGTTCTGTACCCTGTGTTCGTTTAGGTTCCTCATTTCCACCATACCTGGAACTTATCACCATTAAACATCACGTTATTTTCAGTTGTCCAATCGAAGACTTTAATAGTATCTGCCTGTTGTTTTTCAGTGTCTTCTATGGAGGCAATTTTCATGCTGATTTTTTAATCATCTGCAAAGGATGACACGAAGCTGTGACTAGTATTTTTGTCTATATCCGAGATAGGAATGAGAAATAGCAGTGGTGTAAGGACTGTGCCCTGGGGAACAGAGCTTTTCACTGCACTTGAGCTTGATCCTATTTGATTGGCTATCATTCTCTGCATTCTATATGACAAAGTTGAAAATCCAATGCCCCATTTTACCTGTTATTCCTATTGATCTCATTTGATGAGCTATCACTCTATGGTCATATTGGAGTGATAGCTCATCAAATGAGCTATCACTCACTATTACACTATTATCACTCTGGTCACCTCAATTTTCGTCCTAGGTCTTTCATTTTGGTCTCAATGGGTTCGCAATAGAATTCTCTAGAGGAACATTAGCATATAAAATAAAAAACCTTGTCACGCTCCAACCGCCGACGAGTTGAAGACAGGCCACGCATTAGCCGCGAGTGAGCGCTCAGACGGCTTCCAGCTACACTCCCAATTCCCGCCCTTTTCAAGCCTTTCTTTCGCAATTTTCTTCCTGGAAGGGCCTTGTTCATGATCACTCTCCATCGTGGAGTAAGCGTAGATAGTTTTTAAAGCCGCAGTAAAAACTATAGCCACGGAAAATAGTCGAAATGTTCACACGTTTGAGATGCGAGGGGAGGCGACATTGGTCACAACAGTGGAGCGAAAACAATGGGCCCACGGCGTGTGCCAAGCCGCCTGAGGGCCACGAGGCTCAACAAAGAAAATGGGAAGACATCGGCGCACATTTTAAAACCAGTCCCCCAAAAATCAGAAAAAACCTGATTTTTGGTGATTATTTAAAGTGGATGACGCAATGCTGCGTCATCCCCGGTATTACCGACAGTAAACGGATGACGCAATGCTGCGTCATGCCCGGGCGAAAGTGTTAAGTGCTTTATTGTACCTATGCATGCATTATATGTTTGCTGTATTCCCTCTATTTCAGCAATATCTCCTGCTCTGAAGGGGGAAGTACCTAAGTATCGGGCAGTACTCAAGACAGGACAGCATAAGTGAATTGAATAGTATGAGCATTGTGATGGGTTCCCTGGATTTGAAAGTTCCCATAATCCATCCATCTTTTTCTAGCTAATGCTATATTTGTTTGGTTATGCCCTTTAAAAGTTAGGTTTTCTGATATCATTATTCCCAAATCCTTTATATGTTGCTTTCCTACTATGGGCAGATTTGATTGTGTATTGTACCATGTATTTTGTTTAACCACTGTGCTGCTAGCCTTCCAAATATGGCACCCCCCCCCCCCGTGTGAGCAGGAAATATATTCTCGGGAAAAAATTTGTTTTTGAAAATTTTAAGTACCCTTCCCTGATCACAGATATGTAAAAAAAAAATCGAAATTGTGCTTACTTTGGCCCTAATGGGGTTCGGAAAATGGCGTGT